AATTCATTTATAAGTTCTAGTAGGTTTTTGTTGGAGTCTTTAGATTTTTCAATGTATAAAAGCATGTAGTATGCCCCTTATTTCTTTCTCTTGACTTATTGATCTGGCTAAGATTTCCAATTCCATGTCAGATGAGACAGATGAAAGTGGATATCCTTATCTTGTTCCCAATCTTAGAGGAATATATTTCAGCTTTTTCTCATTCAGTGTGATATTGACTGTGAGTTTGTCATACATAACCTTTATTGTGTTGACATACATTAATTCTATACTTAACTTTTTGAAGATAAAGCTTTTTATTATGAAAGGAAATTGCTTTTTTTTTCTTTCCTTTTTTTATTGTATTGGGAATTGAACCCAGGGGCACTTTACCACTGAGATACATCCCCAATCCTTTTTATGCTTTACTTTGAAACAGGGTCTTGCTAAGTTGCTGAGGCTGGCCTGAAACTTGTGATCTCCCTGCCTCAGCCTTTCAAATTGCTGGGATTACAGGCATGCATCACTATGTTCTGCTGAATACTGCATTTTACTGAATCTTTTTCTGCATTTATTGAGGTGATCATATCGATTTTTGCTCTTCATTCTGTTGATATAATTGATGCACTATCTTTGTTAAATTGCATATGTGAACCATCCTTATATCTCTGGATAAATTCCACTTGATCATGATGTATAATTCTTTTGATGTGCTGTTGGATTAGATTTTTTTGAGGATTTTTGTATCTGTGTTCATCAGGAATATTGGTCTGTAATTTCCCTTTTTAGTTCCTTGTTTAGTTTTAGTATGAGAGTAAAGCTGGACTCAGAATGAGTTTTGAAGGGTTCCCTTTCTCTCAACTTTTGGGAGTATTTTGAGAAACATTGGTGTTAGTTCTTTAAATGTTCAGTAAAATTCAGCAGTGAAACTATCTAGTCATGGACTTTTGTTTTTTGGGAGATTTTATTACTGATTCAATTTAAATAACCATTACTGGTATGTTCAAGTTTTCTGCATTCTAATGATTCAATTTGGGTAAATTATGTATCCAGAAAAATTTCCATTTTTTTAGATTGTAATATTTTTCTTTTTAAAGAGTGACATTCTTTGCCCCTATTTTCTTTCTTTCTCCTCTTCTTCTTCTCCTTCTCCTTCATTTTCTTTTCTTCTTTTTTGTGGTTACCAGGAATAGAAGCCAGAGGCACTTAACCACTGAGCCACATCCCCAGCCCTTTTATATATTTTATTGAGAGA